ACTAACTTCTTGCAGCCAACACTGCTTTCGCTGCCTATACCTCAAATTGTCTCACGCTGCAATCTCTCAATACACTATAGCCTCCGCAGCTGAAGTTTCATTACTAACACAAATCTTTGAGTTGTGTATTATTTCTTGCGTTCACATGGTGGGGGCTCATGACATGTCCATCCTGGTATATATCTTGTAAGCCAATGGATTACGTTGTGTGCCTCCCTGTTTTGCCTAAGTAATAAACTATTCATGTACTATTTGTATTTGTGTCATAAAAATGCTATTAGAAGCACATGTCAAATGTTTTTACATTTATAATTACAGGGTGCCTGTGTGTTGTCTATTAATGAACCAGCTGTGGCCATTAAAAACATTGAATGTACAATAATTGACCATGCATTCAGTGAGGGTTGGATCAAAGCAATCATACCACAACATAGAACTGGTAAAAAGGTGTCTGTAGTTGGGAGTGGTCCGAGTGGTTTGGCAGCCGCAGCGCAGTTAAATAAAGCTGGTCATGACGTAACTGTATATGAAAGAAAAGATCGGATTGGTGGGTTGTTGAGATATGGTATACCTACCATGAAACTAAGTAAACAGGTAATTTCTCTTGACACTGGAAGGTATACGTGTGGTACACTATAGTTAATTGTTTGTTAAAGCATTATTCATTATGTGCAATTGTTGTTTTAATCTGACAGGTTGTGGACAGAAGAGTTGCATTGATGAAGGAGGAAGGAATCAAGTTTGTAACAAATTGTGAAATTGGAAAAGACATGTCACCTCATTCATTATTGAATGAAAGTGATGCAATTATCTTGTGTCTCGGCTCAACATTACCGAGAAATCTCCCCATACCAGGTATGTATAATATTGCTGTATCAAGGACTTGTTCAACTATGCCACAAAATCTCTCAAGAAGTATAATATTGGTGTAGCACTAAATGCTCTCTTAGTAGATCAAATTATTCTTCCTTTTACATTGGAGGTTTTTGGAGAATAGTGTGCTTAAGCTTTTAGTAACATTGGTGTGTATCAAAAAAAAGGAAAATTGTTTTGTTGCCCTCAGCGACAGGCCGATCGAAAAATATTAAATATTGGGTCGCGTTTTTTTTTTTTTTTTTTTTTTTTTTTTTTTTTTTTTTTTTTTAAAAAACCCAAATATTGAAAA